AACTCTATACACACACTTAAAGATAAAGCGTTAAAACCAACTCCTATAATATCCTATTTATGTGATAAATTACATAAATTCCACTTGTTTTAGAACTTGAAAATTAAAAAATTAAAACGTATACGAAAAATTCTATGATATAACAATTGTAATTATCCACCCTATATAAATATATAATAATTATAAGTTGTGAGAGTACTTACTTCAAAATTAAAACCTATTAGATTTATTTTTGGATCCAGTATTGAACATAAAATYAAWWTTCATGTTGAAAGACTCACAAATAAGAACAATATTTAATGGTTTATTGGAAATTATATAAGTGACTTAAAGTCACTTAGGTACTTTGGTCACTAGTTGACTAGTTATCAGGCAGATAATATTTTTTCTCCACGCTGTTGCATATCGTTCTCTGAGGTCATATAGACTATAGAGAGACAAAGAGACAAAATATATATACCTTTGCTATAACAAGTTGAGATTTAAAATTTTTGATTTGACACGATTTTTATGCCTCGACGTAGTAAAAATTTACAAATCACAACAGAAGTTTTTTTTTCTGCACCAAATGTGTTGCCATTTTTCAATCGGTAAATACTCAAATACACCGCAATATTTGGTCGGTTTTTTGAAACTAWTTACTATAAAATCAGAATAAATGTCAACGGCATAGCTATACATTTCGGTTTAGGTACTAAATTTATTTATCTACAGTTATAGGTACCTACGCACTTACTAACGATAGGATTGGAATAGAACGGATTTTAAGAACTCGTAAAAAAACAATCGCATCGCTAAGATAAATACTTAATCCTAATGATAAAAATAAGTAATTTAAATATTAGCTCATCGTCGGAATTATATTTAGTAAAATATAGAAGGTAAGTGTACGCATATCAAAAACTTAAAATATGAGTAGCAATAGGTATCAAAAATAATTAAATCACCACTCGCAATAAAGTATTGTAAATCATTTTAATATACCTGTTTATATGTATACACGCCCATACAWTTTGTACCTAACTATTTGTTGGTGATATTAAAATATAAACGTATAATAATATACGGACATAATATTTAAAGACCGTAAAAGTTTTCCTAAAAACTGTTTTTAAGTTATAACGATAAAAAATAAAACGATATTATCAATAAAAATGCATACGACCCTACGGTTAGAGACGGACTCACTAGTTTTAGTGGGTTATTTTTAACAAGAGCCTTTAATTTATTTTTTCCTCAAAACGTTCGTCAAAAAAATTAAATGACGGCTAGTTTTTAAATCTAAGAAAACGCGTTKC